ATCAGTCCAAGCAGTCGCAATCCTGCCAGTGTGGAGCCCACTGTACCCAGCAGCGGCCTCGAGTGGGACCTCCAGAGTGGGAGCTGCCCCCAGGATGATGGCCACTCGGGAACCTTTGGGAGTGTTCTGGTCGGGAACCGCATCCAGATTCCTGATGACTCTCAGCCTGAGAGCCCCAGCTTGCTGGGCCCCATCCCTGGGGTGGGCAGTGGAGGCCTCGACAGTGAGGAGGACAATGCGCTGAAGCGGGAGCTGCCACGGAGTGCCCATGGGCTGAGTGGCAACTGGCTAGCATATTGGCAGTACGAGATTGGTGTGAGCCAGCAGGATGCCCACTTTCACTTCCATCAGATCCGCCTGCAGAGCTTCCCAGGCCACTCAGGAGCCGTCAAGTGTGTGGCACCCCTGAGCAATGAGGACTTCTTCCTGAGTGGCAGCAAGGACCGCACTGTGCGCCTCTGGCCACTCTATAACTCTGGAGATGGCACCAGTGAGACAGCCCCACGCCTCGTCTATGCCCAGCACCGCAAGAGTGTCTTCTTTGTGGGCCAGCTTGAGGCCCCACAGTATGTGGTGAGCTGTGACGGGGCGGTGCACATCTGGGACCCCTTCACAGGTGAGCGGGCCCAGGTGAGGCCTGTTCTATTGCTGCCAGCCTGCGCCCTGCCAGGCCTCTGGGTATGGGGGCCCAGGGTTGGGCAGTTGGGATGTGATGGTATACAGTGTGTGGCATTTCCGTGAGGCTGCAAAGAGGAGCAGTTAGACCTGAGTTGGAATCCCTTAGCCCTGAGTTGGAATCCATTAGCCCTGAGCTGAAATTGGTGCTGCCAGCTTATTTGCTAAGTGACCTTGCACAAGTCACTTTGCTGTTGGAAGCGTTCATTTTCCCATCTGTCAAATGGGAATCAGAGCTGGTTTAGAGGATGATGCACATAGGAGTTTGGCTTAATGTGTAGTGTGTCGATCAAGTTTGACAAAAGGTTGCTTGATGATTTTTTGGCATTGTGGTGGGGACAAATAAGGCTAATGAGGTTTTTAAAGGGAGAGGGGATGGAGTAGCATTGAGGTAGACTAAGGAGAGGTGGCATTTGGTCAGGAGGCACCCTGTGAAGAGGTCACTTTAGGGACAGGAGCCTGGCCTGGCCACGGAAACAGGAAGGCAGGAGAGTAAAAAAACATCTTTAGCATTTTTTTAGGTCCTCTGGGATATGAGAGGCATATATACAGGGTAGGTCAGGGAGATAGGAAGAGTTGGGGCTCTTCCATCAGCTATTGGGACCCCAGACACACTGTGCCTTTCCTTCCCAGGGAAGACCCTTCGCATGATGGAGCCATGGGACAGCCGGGTGCCCCTGACTGCTGTGGCTGTCATGCCTGCCCCCCATACCAGCATCACCATGGCCAGCTCTGACTCGACCCTGCGCTTTGTGGACTGCAGGAAGCCTGGCCTACAGGTCAGGGGCGACTGGTTCCCTGTGCCCTAGCCTGGATGCCTAGCAGGGAGGAGAGACCCTGAAGAGAGAAGGCTAGGGGTGTAGTTCTCTTTGGAGACAAATCACCCATAGCAGCAAATCCTGGGGGGTGGGACTCTGATCTGAAATGAAGGGGACCCCTCTGCTTGATGTAGAGGTGGTAGAATAGAGGATTAGGCCTTTCAGCTGCATGGACTTGGTTGGGGGTGAACAGGACCTCGGGGAGAAATAGGTTGGAATGGGTGGCAGCACATAACTTATCTCCCTCTGCCTGCAGCATGAGTTCCGCCTCGGCGGCGGGCTGAACCCTGGGCTTGTCCGCTCCCTGGCCGTCAGCCCCAGTGGCCGTAGTGTTGTGGCTGGCTTCTCCTCGGGCTTCATGGTACTCCTGGACACCCGTACCGGCCTGGTTCTGCGTGGCTGGCCGGCCCATGAAGGGGACATCCTGCAGATCAAGGTGACTGGCCAGGTCCCCTTCCCCTCCTCACTGCCCAGGCCAGCTCCTACCCCAGGTCCTCCTAGGGCCCACCCAGGACAGGCTCCAGCTAAGATGATCTCCCTTTTGTATGTGCCCCAGGGCTCACGGGCGGAGAGGGTTAGAGCTGGCTGCACTGTAGCAGCCCTGGCGGCAGACAGGCCATGGGGGGCAGGAACCAGGGGGCAAGCTGACCCTGCTGCTCCCTGGGGATGCTCTAATGAGTAACCCTTGTCCATATTTGCCTTGCTTGGAGGATCAGGGGTCAGGCCCTGTCCGTGACCCAGTTCAGGTTAAATAAAGCTGAGCTGGGAGGCTGTTTACTGCCCCCAGACCACTGAGCAGAGTCCATGCCCCATGCTGGGCTGCCCTGGTGGGGGCAGGGACATCCCGGCATGGGGATCCTGCCCCTACCACCGCCCATTCTCAGTCACAGACCTCAAGGAACTGCTCAGGGACGGACAGGAGGGAAGGACAGAGCACTCCCTCCCTATCCTGGCTGCAGCCAGGGGACATGTACTGCCACTGCTAAAGGCAGACTGTCCCCAACTGTGTCCAGGACCCTAGGGGAGCCTGGGGTTCGGATACCTTTAAATTCGGACCTTCCACGGAAGTGTCAGGAGGGCTTTGGGGTCAGCCTGGGTGTTAATCCTGGTAGTGCCACTTACTGCTCTGTGACCTTGGTAGGACTACTTAACTTTTCTGAGCCTCAGGTTTTTTCTCTGTCAAATGGGAATAACAACAGCATTTACGTCATAGAGTGAGTTGTCACGAAAATTAAATGTGGTAATATGGCATGCCCAACACAATGTCTAGATATATAGTAAGTGCTCAGATTACAGTGATGTCTAGGTTAAAGGCACTTTAACATAGTTGCGTTAACCAACACTAATATATAATGTGGTGGGAGGGGGCAACTCATCCCCTGCCCAGGATCCTCTATCTTCCTGGAAGGTACTGGGCAAGAAAATAGAAGACCCTGGGAGCTTGTAAGGCACACAGGAGGGCCCAGGCCCTGCTAAAACTCTCTTCTCCCTGGGCAGGCGGTGGAGGGCAGTGTCCTGGTCAGTTCCTCCTCTGACCACTCCCTGACCGTGTGGAAAGAGCTGGAACAGAAGCCTATGCACCACTACAAGTCAGCATCTGACCCCATCCATACCTTCGACCTATATGGTAGCGAGGTGGTCACGGGCACTGTGGCCAACAAGATCGGCGTCTGCTCCCTACTTGAGCCACCCTCCCAGGCCACCACCAAGCTCAGCTCTGAGAACTTCCGAGGCACGCTCACCAGCCTGGCCTTGCTGCCCACCAAACGCCACCTCTTGCTGGGCTCAGACAACGGAGTCATCCGCCTCCTGGCGTAGGCTGAAGCAGGGCTGGCCAACGAGGGGCGGCAGACATCCCCCAGGAGTCCATCCCTCACCCTTGTGTTCCCAACAGCTCCCTCTGGGCAAGCCTCAGGCCCTACACCCTGAGTGCCCACATGACCTACGAGCAAGGGTGAGGCCGGGGTCCAGGTTCCCGAACTTCCAGAGCCACAGGGCTGCCTGAAAGGATCTTCATGGCTGGGGGAGATGTGGCCCCTGGTCAGCAGGAAGCATCACCCCCTCTTCTCCCTAGCTCTGCCCTCTGGGTCCACATAGGGACAGGGAAACTCTGAGAAGAGGAGGGGAGCCTGGCCCTGTCCAGCCAGGGACACCCACCACCCCCCACCACCGAGATTTCTGTGCCCTTGTCTCACAAGGACAGGGAAGCTGTTCCAGTCCAGGACACTGATGGTGCTTGGACCTCAGCCTCTAAAGAGGGCTGGCCGTGGTCCGGGAGTTAAGGGCCTTGGGCTGGGGTTTAAGTGTCCACCCAGCCAGGCTCTGCCCAGTGTGGGACCAGTAGGCAAAGAAAGAGGGCAGGACCAGGGGAGGGAAGATGGTCTGGTCCAGCTGGTGCCTGCCAGGAGTGACCCCCTGCCTCGCCTGCCCACCCCTCACCACAGTGTTTGTGCCTTGAACTGAGGAGGCAGCCCCTGGGCCCAGAACTCTTATGGTCCAACACCCCGAGAGAAGGGGTGAGAATAATCTCTGCATCTCAGGTCTCCCAGGAAATGGGAAGACCCAGGCATCCCAGGACCCTCACATTCTGGAGCAGAGATGAGATCTGAGCCTGTGCCCCTACTGCCTCCTCATTATTTGCAATAGATGTAAATATGACCAATAAATCCTTTGGAAGAGCCATGGACCTGAGTGATGCTTTTCTCGACGATGGCATCAGGGTGGGGAAGAATCGAGACTCAGTAGCTTCCAGGGCAGTGAAGACAGAGTGAGAAGTAGGGCAGGAGAGTGGGAGATAGCCTGATAGCTGCTTTTGGGCACCACAGGGTACAGGGCTTCTGGATCATGCAGCCCCCCTCAGAGGAGGCTCAGCCTTGGTGGGATGTTAAGGAGGCATTGCTCCTGCTGAGGGAGGATGCTGCCTGGTACTGTGACCCTCTCTCCTCTCCCCACTCCTTCTAGATCCAGTCTAAAAGGCAGCCAGTCAGGATCCTGGCTTGTAAGGTTTGAGGATGGGCATCTCGAGTTCCCCACGTAAGCTCCTACAGCTTCCCCTTCCCCTCATGATAGGGGAGAGGAAAGAACATTGGAAGTGAGAAGCTGGATGTGACTCGAGCCTAGCTCTGTCCTTGGGCACATTACCTACCCTCTCTGACTCCAGTAAAGTAGAGATAAACCCCCCCCACCTCATGGGGTTGCTGGAAGGCCCCTGTCCTTCCTGGATCTGTCGTACAGATGAGGACATCTTCCTTAACTTTCCCGAATCTCCTTTCTCCAGGCGTGGGTGGGACCCAAATCCACAGGGCTCCAGGTGGCTATCTCAGGATTAGATGCCCTGGTGGGAATGGGGTTTCCGGCCCCAGTATCAATGTTTAACCGGATGTGCTGGTCAATATTTACCAGAAGAGAAATCTGAACAATCTGAACAGGGGTTGGCTGAGAGCAAAGGTCCTGGTGGGAGGGGAGGGCTCAGATGGGCTGGCTGGAGCCTGAGCAAAGTGTGGGGAGCACCACAGTGGGGCCAGAGGGACATTGTGTGCAGCAGCAAGGAGCCTACAGAGGTATGAGGGGAGGGGTGGCTTGGCCTGCTCTTTGGGCCAGATAGGAGGTAAGAGCTGCCCACCCAGCTGAAGGGGTCTGGGGTGAATTTATTCAGAAGGCCTCTCATTTCCCAGCCTCCTGGGGTGATGAGGAGCCAAGGTGGGGGTTCTGGCAGGAGTCTCTCTGGGACTTGAAAAACTGGAGGTCTTTTCTTGTCAGGAAGATTCAAAACCCCCATTAGAGATTAGGGCCCTGGCCAAGGGTCCTTGTGTGTGATGGAGATGGGGCCAGGGGTGATAGAGGATCCCCTGGAAGGACTGGCCCTGAGATGGGGGGCGGGGTTGGAGTGTGTGGGACCTGCTCTGAGGCCAGACTAAGACCTGCCCATCCCCACCTGCTGGCTGGGCTTCCCGGAGCCGACCTGGACAGAGTCGGGCACAAGGCCTATGTTTCCCGTAAGTCCAAAGGTGGCTCTATCCAGAACCATTCATTGGGCTCTGTGGCTAGGTCAACAACAAGGCTCTCCGGCCCATCCCACCAAACCTGCCGAGACCTCAGGGATTCACAGGCCTGTCTACCCTTGTGGTCAAGACCAGACCAAGAAAAGGTGGGCCATTGGGCAGCAGGTTGGGTAGGAGCTCTGGGTAAGGAGCCCTAGGACACAGGAGGCTTCAGGGCAGGCTTCCCAGAAGAGGGGCCTTGGGCTAGGCTGACAACAGCCATACTACTGAGTGCCAGGCAGCATAACCAGGGTGCACAAAGACTGTCTTATTTTGGTCCTCACAGTATACCGTGGGAGGAGGTAGGGACTTTTGCTACCATTTTACAAGAAAAGGCAAAGCCCAGGGAGATATCTGAGGGCCTCTGGGAAGAGGCAGAGTCTGGATTCCAATCGATGTTGGACTCACCATGCCAGGCCTCGAAGAATGAGGACGCCTTTCATTTTGATTATTTCCCCTATGAACCAAAACATTTTCAGTGCATGACATGTGAAAAACTGGAAAATTCAAAAGGGTTGAAAATGATTCAGGGGGATATCCCACCCCCCGGAGATGAGAAACAGGGCTCATGGGTTTGGGGATGCTGGCGGTGGTGGCTGGCTTGTCCCGCGCAGCGGCGGCGGCTCGGGACCTGCCCTCCCAGGCAGCGCGTGGGTGGGCCCCCCGCGGGAGTGCGGGTGAGGTGGGGACGCAGGCTGCCTGTCCCCGCACAGGAACATGGCGCTGCTCCGGGGGCTCCTGGTGATCAGCTTGTCCTGCCTACAAGGCTCGGGCGCGGTGGTGAGCCTGGGCCTCCCTGGGGCGGGGGGGGGGGGGGGGGGCGCTGAGTCAAGGGAGCGTTTGGCTCTGAAGAGTTCCCTCTCTTCCCCGCATCCTTTTCTCGACAGTTCTCTCCTGCCAGCGCCATGGAGCCCTTGGACCAGCAGGTACTCGGGAGTGAGAGGCAGGAGGGGGAGGAAAGCCCCGCGGGGCCTAACCTGTGGTTGGCGCAGGGAGTGGGCCGACCCGTGGGAAGGGTCACGCTCCATTTGCTTCCTCCCTTCTTCAGCTAATGGGCGGGCAGACCCAAGAGAAGCTGCCCCCGCTTACCCTCCTCAAGTTGGGCAACCAGGTACAACCAGGTGGGGCTGGGGAAGAGTGGGCGGGGTCCGAGGGAGGAGGGCCAATCAGCGGGGCCACGACTCAGAGGGTGGGAGGGGCCAGAGGAAAGGACCAGGTCCTTGTACTGTCATTGTCCATGTGACTGTCCCTCTCTTGTCAGGACTATTCTTGGGCAGGGGGGCTGTGAAAGGGATCTTCAACACAGAGCGGACTCCTTGACCCTCTTGACCCCTGATCTGTCTGTAGGAGCCCAGTGGCCATATTGGCCTGAAGAAGGCCCCAAGAGACTGCAGGGGAGCCCCAACCCCAGAGCAGACCCGCAGATTGGCCCAGGCCATGATGGCCTTCACCACAGACCTGTTCTCCCTGGTGGCCCAAAGGTCCACCAGCCCCAACCTAATCCTGTCGCCTCTGAGTGTGGCCCTGGCACTGTCTCACCTGGCACTAGGTACTGTGGCATCACCGGTCCAGACCAGCAGAGCTGGAGGCCAGTGGGAACTCACTACTCCAGAGTTTACTAGTGGGTGCCTCCTGCATCAGAGTCACTTGGATGTTTGGTAAAAATGCAGATTCCTAGGTACACCTCCAGTCTCTGTGAATCAGATTCCCAGGGATTGGGCCTAAGGATATACTTCTGGTGATTTTTACATAAGCTTTTGATAACTACAATGTCTTCACCGGACTGGAAACTCTCATTGTGGGAAACCGAGGTCCAGAGAGGGAATACGACTTGGATCGAGTGAGGTCACCCAGACTGCCAGCAGCAGAGACAAAAGTAGAACTTGGGGAGTATTGTCACCCCAATCAGTTCAGTGGATACGGGGGGAGAAGGTGTGGTGTCGTGGCCATGCTCACGATGGGGATTTAACAGAGACTGGAGTGGCCAGCAGGGGTGGGAAAGTGCCACTGGCCTGGGCCAAAGCCCATGCGGTCCCCTCCAGGTGCTCAGAACCAGACGCTGTGGAGGTTAGAGCAGGTGCTGCATGCAGACTCTGGGCCCTGCCTCCCCCACCTGCTGAGCCGCCTTTGCCAGGACCTGGGCCCTGGGGCATTCCGATTGGCTGCTAGAATGTACCTGCAGAAAGGTAGGTGCTGGTGGCTTGGAGCTCCCTAGGTTGTGCCCTGGAGTGGACAGGAGTGATGGAAATGGGTTTGGCCTTAGGCAGCCAGTCAGAGCATTGGTGGCTCTGGAGCTCAAGCCCTTAGGAACAGCTCGTGGCCTTTTCTGTGTAGGATTTCCCATCAAAGAGGACTTCCTGAAACAATCAGAACAGCTCTTTGGTGCCAAGCCCATGAGCCTGACGGGAAGGAAAGGGGATGATCTACTAAACATCAACCAATGGGTGAAGGAGGCCACAGAGGGGAAGATTGAGGATTTCCTCTCAGAGCTGCCAGATGACACAGTGTTGCTTCTGCTCAATGCCATCCACTTCCAGGGTGCGTTCCCCCTCTTCTCTGGCCCTCAACCCCTGTGGCCCCTATTCCTGCCTTGTAGGCTGAGCTGGGCTGCAAAACCTTTGTTCTGAGGGTCTCTTTCTCCTCAGGGCTGGGCCAGGAGGCAGGGAGCTTTCTAGGTTGTGGCTTGGGGGAGGGTAGGAAACAGGTAATGGTATGCCAATGAGGGGCCCCAGGAACTGGATGAGAGAACCCTAGGAGGAAACTGAGTCTGAAAGGATTGAGGGTGGGGTTGGGGGTGCTCCTGGGAGCATGACAGGGCATAGGAAGAATGCAAGCCCAGATTTCAAAACTGCTGCAGGGAAAAAACCTCAGATCAACTGGGAATCAACTGGCACAGTGCCCCTTGGGCTTTTGACTTCTACTTTTTGTCCCTTGAATGGGTTCTGGGTGGGATGGAGAAGAGACTGGTGGTGTAGAACCCACCCCTGTCCCAGTCTACGTGACCCCTGCCCTCTGCTGGATATAGGTTTCTGGAGGAGCAAGTTTGATCCAAGCCTCACCCAGAGAGACAGTTTCCACCTGAACGAGCAGTTCACGGTGCCAGTGGACATGATGCACGCCCGCACGTACCCCCTGCGCTGGTTCCTTCTGGAGCAGCCTGAGATACAGGTCACCCTTGACTGCCCAGGCTGGGCCTGGCTGCTGGGAGGTGGGGCAGGGGGGGCAGGCTGTGGGACAGGTACAGGGGTGGAGGGGGGTGTGCCCCACCTCCCTTGCATTCTTGTCCCCGAGACAGGTGGCTCTGGAAGGTCACATTATGCCCTGATCCAGAGGGACTGAGGTTCCAGGCTCTTTGAAGTTCATGAATTTGACAAAACTATATTAGGCATTTGCCACCAGAACACACTAGCACAAGGGAGACCAAGTCCCTGCTCTCAGGAGGAAAGACACACACAGTACACGGACAGACATAAATCATGGAATAATTTCACATAGTATAACTGCTATGAAGGAAAAAAATAAAGTGATCAATTAGTGACTGGGGAAGGTATTTTAGATAAAGTGGTCAGGGAGCAGTCTATAAGGAGGGGCCTCAAGTGGAGAACCAGATGATCTTTGGTCAAAGGGGTTTACTACAAGGGCCCATGGGTTGGTCAGGCTGCAAAGGAGCCACCCAACAGCTACAGAGCCACTCAGGCCTCAGCATCCTCGAGCCTGGGAGATGTGATCTGACTGTCACAGTGCTCCTTGGAAGGGAGGATCTAGTTGCAATGGATTTGTCAGTAACCTGCTGGAACATTCTGATTGGATAGAGTACTATGCCAAGTGGTCTCAGGTGAGGCCTCCCTTGCTTCTAGCCTAAACGTGGTCCTCTTGGCTTGAGCATGGACCCCTTGGCCCATCCACTGTGGCAGAGATGGCAATGTTGGTTAGTTTCCCAAGGCAGCATGCCACAGGCATCAGCGACTCCTGAGAGGGGCTGTGGGGGCAAGGCAGACCCTTGGAGCAGCGTCCAGCTTCTCTCGCTTTCACCCCAACGGGCAGACTGTCTTGTTCACCTCCCCACCTGTTCTCTTTGTGCTGCTCCTGCCCTCCAGGCTGTGTCCTGCCCACTCTTTCTTCACCCATCCTCTCTGTCCCTGATCTCTGCCCTCCTCTTCCTCACACACTCTGCAGGCCGGCCCAGACAGTCAGATGTGGTGTTCCCCACCACCCCCACCACCCCCAAGGTTCCTGCTCCCTGGCTGCTCTGCCTAGAGACTAAGAAGTCTCACTTGCCAGGGATCATCATGCCCAGTGCTTCTCATACTCAAGTAGCTGCAGAAACCCCATTCACATGACATCTTACCTCAGATCACAGTATTATATACGCCCTGGGTGAAGGTGTGGGGGGGAGAACCACCTGTTGCAGTGGCTCCTCTGCAGGACCTAGGGTGGTTTGAAAATGAACAACCCAGTCCATTGTACACGTGGAGACACTGAGAGGCAGAGCTGGTTACAGACGAAGAGAGAGAAAGTCCCCCCTTTATTGAGCACTGCCCATGTGCTGATACTCCACTAGAAGCTTTAAAAGGGTCTCTCTCTCTCTTTTTTTTCTCTCTCTCACATGTCAACCTACAATGTGGGCAGGCAGTGTTACTCCACTTCACAGGTGAGGAAGTGGAGGCTCAGGGAGGCTGAACACACACCTGAGAACAATGGACTGGAACTCTTGCTCCATCTGTCTCAGAAGCCTATGCTGGCCCAGACCCCAGCTGATATGGGCACCTTCTGGCCCTCACCGCTGTCTCCTTTCCTTCTCTGTAGGTGGCTCATTTCCCCTTTAAGAACAACATGAGCTTTGTGGTCATTATGCCCACCCAGTTTGAGTGGAACGTGTCCCAGGTGCTGGCCAACCTGAGCTGGGACATCCTGCACCAGCCCTTACTGCGAGAGAAACCCACCAAGGTCCGGCTGCCTAAGCTGCACCTGAACTACCAGCTGGACTTGGTGGCCACCCTCAGCCGACTGGGTAAGGAAGGGTGAGGCTTGGGTAAGGACAGTCCCCTAGGCCAGGCTAGGCAGAGCAAGTGAGGAACAAAGCCCCAGCTGGCAGTAGGTCCAAGTCAGAGCAGCCTTGTGTCCTGGCCTTCTCTGGGGCTTTGGGAGGTGAGGGCTTCCTAGGACCCCCCAGATCCTCTGTCCCGGGATGGGCTGGGGTGGCCCAGGGAATGAGGATCTGCTCCATCCAAGACTGAGCATTGTGAAGAAATTGGGTGGAGAGCCTGGGTGGCACGTGAGCCTTGCTGGCTGTCCTGCAAGGGGCACTGTACTAGGTACAAGGGGCTCAGGCAGATGCGGAATCAGGTACTTACTATACAGCATAGGTGATGAGTCAGAGGGCTTCTCTCCAGTTCATTGGAGAAAGGCACCCGGCCGGACCTTGGGGCAGGGGATCCAGAAAGTCTCCTTGGAGGACGTGACCTTTAAGCTAATAATTGGAGGTTAAGTGAGAGTTCCCCAAGGATCTGTGGGTTGGAGGTGTTCCCCGGCCAGAATGCTAGCCACCGTCCCAGGCAGGCGCAGGCAGCCTGCGGGGCAGAAGGCAGCTCTGACCGGCAGTCTCTTGCCCTGGGCAGGCCTGCAGGAGCTGTTCCAGGCCCCAGACCTGCGCGGGATCTCCGACCAGAGCCTGGTGGTGACCAGCGTGCAGCACCAGTCTGCTCTGGAGCTCAGTGAGGCTGGTGTGGAGGCGGCCGCGGCCACGGGCACGGCCATGTCCCGAATGTCTCTCTCCTCCTTCAGTGTCAACCGCCCCTTCCTCTTCTTCATCCTCGAGGACACAACAAGCCTGCCCCTGTTTGTGGGCAGTGTGAAGAACCCCAACCCTAGTGCGCCATGGGAGCGCAAGGAGCAGCAGGATTCCCCCGATGACAGGGACTACTTCCAGAACCAGAAAGCCTTTCCCCGAGGAGACAAGCCCTTCGGGCCTGACTTGAAACTTGCGCCTCCCTCAGAGGAGGATTACCCCCAGCTTCATAGCCCCAAGTGAGAGGCCAGCTGCCAGCATCCCGAGTCCCTGCCTGGAGCAACCTCTCAACTCTTGTGACTCTTTCCAGACAGCATTGTGGGAGGAGGGCAGGGACCTGGGTGGGGAGTCTGGGAGCCCAGAGGGAGCCACTCTCTCAAGTCTCCTCCTCTCAGGGATTTTGGGGTTGGGGGGGCGCCAGGACGGGGCGGACCTCAGGTAATCAAGGGCCTTCATCCCACATCTCTTCTTCCAAAAGCGACTCAGAGGCTGTCCTTTGGGGGACTTGGGCAGAAGGGCAGCTGGAGATCCACTTTTGTCAGGAAGGTAGTTCCGTGTTGGCTGTGGCACTTCCACGTTTGTTTACGGGGGGGGGGGGGCAGGAGGGGGGCAGGAGGGATGGAATACCTTGGCTGGGGAGAGGACAGTAGGCCCTGGGGGTGTGGAGCCTGGGCCTGCTCTATGGGCGGGGCCTAGAATTCCACAAACTGCTTCTGCCACACTTGCTGGAGGCCCTCCAGCCCCCAGCCCCCAACCCGCCCCCCACACCCTGTCACTTCAGCCTCCCCACTGCTCCTTGGAGATACCAGCATTGCCAGGACTCTTCTTCCCTGTCTCTCCTCTTCTTCCTCTGCCCAGGTGTCTCAGGTGGGAGGTGTGTGTGGGGGGAATAGTTAACTCCCTAAGGCTCTTTTGTAAAGTTTTTGTAGTGATTTTTATGCCACCTGAATAAAGAATGAATGACCCTGGCTGTTTTGATGTCACTCTGCTGGGCATGGGCTGGAGCAAGGGGGCTGAGGGAGGCAGGAGGGCCCTGGTGGCACTGAGCCTCACGCTGGGCCCTGACAGCACACAGCATGCGGCCCTCTCTGCCACGTTTGTCCCCTGGCCACCTGCCAGCTCTTCCCCGGCACAGTCCCCTCTGACCTTGCCAGCCCTCTCTGCGGCCAGCTCCATGCCAGCCGGGCTCCACTCTCTCCAGAGGCCTCAAGCAGCCATTAACAAGGGTGGATCAGAATAGCGCTGGCCTCCCAGTTTGGAGAAAACTGGCAATTAGGGAGCTTGTGGAGTTTCTAATTACATGTCAGTCCTTCTGGCAGGGGCAGGCGCCCATCAGCCAGGGACAGGCTGCAGGGAGCACTGGTTCCAGCTGGACGCTGTCAGTGCCTCAGGATCTGGGGGAAACAGTTGGGCCCACCTTGGCCCGGGGCCGTGGGTGGTATACGGGGCCACATGCGTGGGCCCTTATCTGTGGGTACAAAGTGTCCCTGTGGCCGTGGCCACCTGAAGCCCCGAAGTGCAGTGGTCAAGAGCAAGTGCCCAGGGTGGACTCTGGCTTCCTACAAACCAGCAATGTGGGGAGACAGGTGAAATCGATGATGAGGCAGAGGGTGGTTGGTTAGAGCTGTGGTGAGAAATAGAGCAGGGCAGGCCTCCCTGAGAAGGTGGTATGGGAGCAGAGACTTGAGGCAGGTGAAGGCAAGCATGATATAAATAGCCAGGGCAGAGTTCCTGGGTGGAAGCATGCTCAGAAGTTTCAGGATGAGCAGGGGGTCCGTGGAGCTAGAGGGGAGGGGTAGGAGTGAGTCAGAGGGGAACATGAACTAGTGCTTTAGGGCCACTGTAAAGACTGTTGTTTTTATCTTAGGAGTAAGAAGTAATTGGATAGTTAAATTAGGAAGCCACCAACTTAATTTCACCTTCTAAATCTTTCTCAGCTCTCTCCTCTCCATTCCAGGGGTCGCCGTGGATCAAGCCATCACTCCTTAGGCTCTCCCTAGGTGACCTCCTAGGTCTCCCTGCTGCTGATCTGGCTATGGCACCTGCATCCCCCTGCAAGTCCTCATCAGAGCCTGTGTGTCCAGCAGTGCTTCAGGCTCTGGGGATGGGAAGTGGGCAAGCAGACAAGATCCCTACCCCCCAGAGCCTAAATCTGTAGGTAGAGCAGTCTATCTAGACAATAAAAAGTTAACACTTTCTGATGAAATATAGTGTGCCAAGTACACACGTCATAACTGTACCTGAGCTTAATGAAATTTCTCATGAACCAAATACCCCTGTGCAACCAGCACCCACATCAGGAAACACACAGTACTCACCTCCTGACTTCTAATAACAGATTAATTTTTTCTGGTTTTGAACTTCATGTAAAGGAATCATACAGCCTGCTCTCTTGGGTCTGGCTTCTTTTGTTTAACCTCACATTTGTGACATTCATCTGGGTTGTGGATGGCAATAATCCATTCACCGTGGAAAGCTTTTAATTGAGGGGTGCCAGGCAGCCCAGGTGGCTCAGCAGTTTAGCGCTGCCTTCAGCCCAGGGTGTGATCCTAGAGTCCCGGGACAAAGTCCCATGTCAGGCTCCCTGCATGGCGCCTACTTCTCCCTCTGCCTGTGTCTCTGCCTCTCTCTCTCTCTGTGTCTCTCATGAATAAATAAATAAAATCTTTAAAAAATAATAATTGAGGGGTGCCATGGTCTGATGTCAACCCTAGAAGGCTCACTTGGCTGTGTGTGGAGAACAGAATGTAGAGACAAGCATAGGTTAGCAGGAAAGAGACATAGATGGTGTTGGCTGTAGAATCAAGGAAAGTGGTCAGAATGCAGAAATATTTTGCAAGCAGTGCTATGGAATTTGTGCCTAGTTTGTACAAGATGTGAGGGAAAGGAAAGGCTCAAGGATGGTGGGGTTCATGGTTCAGATTCCTGGATTTTTCTTTTGAAAAACAATTTTTAAAAAAAAATTTATTTGAGAGAGAGCAAGAGCGAGAGAGATCACAGAAGGAGAGGGAGAAGCAGACTTGCCACCGAGTGGAGAGTCCAATGGTGCTTGAGCCCGGAGTGCTCGATCCCAGGACCCTGAGACCATGATTGGAGCCGAGGGCAGAGGCTCAACAGACTGAGCTGCCCAGGTACCCTGAGAAAATGGGTTTTACTGAGATGGAATCAGAGTGAGGGACAGATTTTGGGACTGGAGATTTTTTTTTTTAAGATTTTATTTATTTATTCATGAGAGACACACACACACAGAGAGAGGCAGAGACACAGGCAGAGGGAGAAGCAGGCTCCCTACAGGAAGCCTGATGCAGGACTTGATCCCAGGACCCTAGGATCATGACCTGAGCCAAAGACAGACAACCACTGAGCCACCCAGGTGCCCCACAACTGGAGATTTCTATTTTGAACATGTCATGATTGAAATACCACAGAAAGAAGAAGAAAGAAAGAAAGAAAGAAAGAAAGAAAGAAAGAAAGAAAGAAAGAAAGAAAGAAAGAAAGAAATACCACACTAATGTAGATTAATATAGCCTACCTGGGACACTTGAAGTTATGTCTCTGGTTCTACTTTTGTTCTGAGGAATGTTTGGATGATAACATTATATGTTCATCCTACCTACTGGGCACCCATATGGATTTGTCAGATAGGCTATTGGATATCTTGATCAGGACTGGAAGAGTGTGGGACACCTGGGTGGCTCAGCAGTTGAGCGTCTGCCTTCACCTCAGGGTGTGGTCCCGGAGTCCCAGAGTTCCGGAGTCCCAAGATCGAGTCCCATATCGGCCTTCCTGTATAGAGCCTGTTTCTCCCTCTGCCTCTCTCTCTCTGTGTCTTTCACGAATAAATAAATAAAATCTTAAAAAAAAAAAAGGACTGGAAGTGTGTATTTGGGAACACACAGATGCATTTAAAGTCATGGAACTGGTAGAAGTAACCTAGGAGGAGATGGAGATGGAGAGAAAAAGGAGCCCTGGGATCAAGTGAGCAAAGGAGACAGAAAAGACACGGCATGTGAGGTCCTGGGGGCGGGAATGGAGAGGCAGAGTTTCAAGAAGGAGGAACAGTTTGCTCCACCGCCTGCTGCCGAGGGAAGAGATGTCCTTTCGGTGGTCAACATGAAGGTCACCCACAAACTTGGCAACAGCTGTTTCAAAGGAGAGATGGGCACAGACTGAAGCTGAGGAGGGAATGGAGCCAAGACAGGACAGACACAAGAATAAATAGCTCTTTCCCTCATGGCTGTGAGGGAGAACCGAGAAATGGGCAGTAGCTTTAGGGGATGTGGCCTAGAGGAAGTGTCACTAGAGGAGAGTGACAGAGGATGTTCGAAGGCTGTGGGAGGACCCTCAGAGAGGGATACATGCATCATGCAGGAGAAGGGCTACCGCAGGGCAAAGCCATGGAGAACACAGTGGAGGCCTTATCCTTTGGCAGGAGCAGGATACCTTTCATGGCAATCGGAGGAGACATGAGCCTTTCTTTCTTCCTTCTTTTTTTCTTTTCTTTCTTTTTAATGTTTTTTTTTTTTTAAGATTTTATTTATTTCTTCATGAGAGACACACAGAAAGACACACAGAAAAAGGCAGAGACACAGGCAGAGGGAGAAGCAGGCTCCATGCAGGGAGCCCGACGTGGGACTCGATCCGGGTCTCCAGGATCACACCCCGGGCTGCAGGCGGCGCTAAACCGCTGAGCCACAAGGGCTGCCCTTTTTCTTTCTTTCTTTCTTCTTTCTCTCTTTTTCTTTCTTTCTTTCTTTCTTTCTTTCTTTCTTTCTTTCTTTCTTTCTTCTTGTTAAAGATTTTATTTATTTATTTGAGAGGGAGAGAGAGAGAGAGAGAGCACAAAATCAGGAGGAGGGAAAAGCAGACTCCCCACTGAGCAGGGAACACCACCTGGGACTCCATCTTGGGACCCTGGGATCATGACCTGGGCCAAAGACAGACACTTAATGGACTAGGCTACCCAGGGGCCCTGAGATGAATCTTTCTTCCTAAGTTCATGAAGTAATTGGAGCAAACAAAAAGGTATAATCAATTGCATAATGCCATTGCTCAGCAGATTGTTGATATAAGTGTCTTCCCGTCATTATTTCTCAGGGCTGTAAGACTTTTCCACCTCTATCCAGTTTGCTGTTGACGGACATGTGAGGAGCTTCTACTTTTTTCCTTGTTGTTGTTCCACTGCAAATAGTGCTGCGATAATGTTCTTGTACAAGCATACTTTGTGCATATATATGGAATTTTTCCAGCACACATGCTTAGGAGTAGAATTGCTGAGTTGTGGGTTTGGGTTTACCCATCTTTAACCTGCCAGGGCTGCCACATATTGTTAAGCTCAGCTTTGCCATATGATGCCAGATTCTTCTTCAAAGTGGTTCTATCAGTTTACATTCCCACATTCTCACCAGCAGGGCAGAAGAGTTCCTGGTTGTCCACATCCTCACCAACACTTGGTCTTTGTCAGATGTTTAGATTTTGCCCATCTGATGATTGAGAAATACGCTCATTATATTGTGGTTTTATTTTTTATTTTACTTTTTAAAGATTTTATTTATATGAGAGAGAGCATGAGATGGGGGGTGGAGGGTGGACAGAAGAAGAGAGAGGAGAGGGAGAAGGCTCCCCACCCAGCAGGGAGCCTGACACTGGGCTGCATCCCAGGATCCCGGGATCACAAAGTGAGTGGAAGGCAGCTGCTTAACTGGCTGAGCCATCCAGATGCCCCCAAACTATGATTTTAATTTGCATTCCCCTGATGAATGGTGAGGATAAAACATCTTCTTCAGAAGCTTATTGGCCACTTAGGATTCTTCTCCTGTGAATTACCTGGGTCTATGTTTCTGTTGAGTTTTTATTTTTTGTACTAATTTATAGTGTTTTCTATATTACCATTCATAATCTTTTTTGTCAGTTACCTCTGTGTAACAAATATTTTATCTCAGTGTGAAACTTTTGTTTTCATTTTGTTTTATGGTATCTTTCCCTGAAAATAAGTGGGTTTTTTTTTTGGTTGTTGTTTTGTTTTAAAGATTGTATGTATGTATGTATGTATATATTTATTTATTTATTTGACAGCACAAGCAGGGGGAGCAGCAGGCAGAGGCAGAGGGAGAAGCAGACTCCCCACTAAGCTGAGAGCCTGATGTGGGACTTGATCCCAGGACCCCAGGATCATGACCTGAGCCGAAGGCAGATGCTTACCTAACTAAGTCACCCCAGGCCCCCCTGAAAATAAAATTTTAACTTTACTGTCAAATTTATCAATCTTTTATAATTTGTGCTTCTTTTGATGTCTTGTCTAAAAAAAAATCCCCTTTTTTAAGTAGGCTCCACCCTTAGTGTGGAGTCCAGTGTGGGGCTTGAATTCATGACCTGAGATCAAGATCTGAGCTGAGATCAAGGGTTGGAAGCTCAACCGATTGAGCCACCCAGGAGCCTGTAGTAAAAAAAAAAAAAAAAAAAAAAAAAAAAAAAAATAATAATAATAATAATCCTCTTTACCCAGAGATTACAAAGGGATCATCTATACTTTTTCTAAAACATTTACCGTTTTTCCTGTTGTATATATATGTTTGTATTTGCTTTTTAAGGCATTAAAAATATTTCTGAATAAATAAAAATCTTAAAAAAAAAAAAAAAAAAGGCAGCCCCGATGGCGCAGCGGTTTAGCGCCGCCTGCAGCCCAGGGCGTGATCCTGGAGACCCTGGATCGAGTCCCGCGTCAGGCTCTCTGTATGGTGCCTGCTTCTCCCTCTGCCTGTGTCGCTGCCTCTCTCTCTCTCTGTCTCTATGAATAAATAAACAAAAATCTTAAAAAAAATTTCTGAAAGGATGCACAGGAAAGAAATTACAGCAGAAGTCTCCAAGAAGTGGATTCAGGTGACTACAGATCACAGTGAGGAGGAATGTTTTTCAACTTTTCACTGTTTACCTCTTGTTGTTTTTGAGTTTTGAACCATGTGAACAAAATGCCTATTCTTTTCCTTTTTTAAAAAAAGATTTTATTTATTATTTATTTGAGAGAGAGAGTGAGACCACGAGCAGGGGTAGAGGCAGAGGGAGAAGCAGGGAGCCTGAAGTGGGACTCGATCCCAGGACCCTGGGATCATGACCTGAGCCTAAGGCAGATGCTTAACTGACTGAGCCACCCAGGAGTCCCACAAAATGCCTATTAAATAATTTGAATAAAAAGTTATTAAGAAAAGTTCTGCAGAAACAGAAATTGAAGCTGGACCTTACACTAGCTAAAGCTACTTTTTGTGTGTGGTGCAAGATAGGGATCCAATTTTCACTTGTCCACATGGATAGTTATACTCTTCCTGCTTTTCTGCGCTTACTTAGCTCATTCTTATTCACCCTTCAAGATTCAGTTTAGGTACATATATTCCGACCACATTGCCACAATACCCTACAAAACAATGTTGTCCAATAGATATACAATGCAAACTACATATGTGATTTAAGATTTTCTAGTAGTCACATTTAAAAAGTGATATTAATTTTAATAATGTATTTTATTTAACCCAATATATATAACCAACATAAAAATTATTGAGATATTTTACATTATTTTTTCATACCAAATATCCAAAGTCTGGTGTGTATTTTACACTTATAGCAACTCAGACTAGCCACATTTCAAGTGCTCTGTGGGCACATGGCTAGTGGCTATTGTGTTGGACAGCGTGGCTATAGAGACTGCTATGATAGGATGTGTCACATTACAGTGGAATGCTCTGTTCTCATACCAGCCTGTGATTAGTCAGTAAATTTCTGCATGACACGGAGTTTTACTCATCTTTATCTTCCTCCTCCTCTGCAAACCTAGCTACTGCTAGTGCTTTGCAGAGAGTTACTCCATTTTTTGTTGAAAGGATTGAACTCTGACTGTTGATACATTTTTTTTTTCTTACACGAAGCTGAACCTTGCCCACTGTAAAGTTCTACCCAGGGGCTCTAGCTCTGCTTCCTGGAGCCTCATGAGATGATGTTTGAATTTTCTCTTCATTCAACTAAGTATCCCAGAGCACTCTCTATCCCTTCTCTGAGCTCTCCTCTGACCACTGGGCTTTCGGCCAGCACTCCTACCTGTCTAGAAAGCATTTTGTTCATTTTGTTACACTGTCTAATACACTGTCAGTATTTTATTTGTTTGTTTATTTATGATTTTATTTGTTTATTCATGAGAGACACACAGAGAGAGGCAGAGACACAGGCAGAGGGAGAAGCAGGCTCCATGCAGGGAGCCTGATGCAGGACTCGATTCCAGGACACTGGAATCACGACCTGAGCTGAAGACAGACGCTCAACCACTGAGCCACTCAGGTATCCCAACACTTTTTTCTTTTAAATATTTTATTTATTTGAGAGAGAGAGTGAGAGAGAGAGAAAGCATGAGGAGGGGGAGAGGCAGAGGGAGAGGGAGAAGCAGACTCCCCACTGAGCAGACATGGGGCTCCATCCCAGGATCCGGAGATCATGACATGAGGCAAAGGCAGATGCTAAACCATCTGAGCTGCCCAGACACCCCTCCCATGTCAGTATTTTCTATTCACAACCACATTGCATGATCCTAAGCATCCCAGCTGAGCAGAGCCTCAGTATTGTCCTGTCTAGGTGACCTCTATTTTGCCTAGGCGGTGCCACGCACACACTTGGCCTCCCCTCAGGACTAATGGTTATAGCATAGCTCAATTCTTCCTGTGGTCATATTTTTTCCACTGGCCTTTCTGATTTTCAGAAATCACAGAATTCCAGGGCTGAACAAGCAAATCAACATCCCAGTTCCATCCCTCCATTTTTCAGCTAATGAAACAAACGGAGGACTGGGAGAGTTGTCTCGACCCAAATCCTGGTTAGTGTCAGAGCAAAGGACCAGGAAAAATTGAGAGTTCCAGCACAGGCCTGGGGTTTGCTCTGCTCTGACTTGCCTTCCAGGCCTCCTCTGGAAGACTCTTCCTCAGTCCTGTCTCCCACCCAAGTTGGCCAGGGTGCCCCATGGGGGTGCGACCACAGGCAGGAGGAAGGCCCGGGACCTGAAGGAAGGTCTGGTGGAGGAGCCAGGGTGTGTGAATTTGTGTGTGTTGGGGGTGTGGGGTGGAAGAGTGGCAGTGGTTTAAAGTCAACATTGGGCAATGATGCAATCACAGGATCTGAATTGAGTGCAGGCCGCTTTAAGAGAGGAGTAGCTGTAATCTGAAGCTTGCTGGCCTCTGGATTGGGAGGCGCAGCAAAAGCTCTGGTGCTTGCTGGAGCCCCTCAGCCTGCAGACCTAGGCTGGCGCAGAGTTGCAGCACACCCACAGGAAAAGCAGCTCCCAGTCTGGTGAGAGTGTCTGGAGAGGCTCTCCTGGGAGCACTCCTGGGAGAGGACGAGAGGGGTGCAGGGAGAGGAGGTGGGGAGACAGTAGCTCCTGCAACTTGGGCATCAGGGTGAGAGGATGAGACTGGGCAGAGGGAGTTGGGGCTCAGAAGGCCAGGGCCCAGTTTTCCCCAAACCCCACTGCACCACTAGGGGAAGAGGCTGGAAAGGCTTTTGAATGAAGTGGGTGGGTAGCAATGGAGGAGGGCGATGGTGGGAAGGAGCTGGGAGCGCAGCTGCTGGGCCAGGCCTGAGCAGCACCTGGGGGAGGAGGACCCCCCAGCCCCGAGGGAAGGAGACTGTCCTAAAGCTGGGCTTCCATGGGGCAGTCGGGAGGCGGCTGTCCTGCAGTCCAGCCTTGGCTGGGGCTCAGCTCCTTGCTGCTTTTTCAAAATCAACTGGTGCTGATTCCCAAGCCAACCCCTGGCCTGTTGAGCTCTGCAGAAGACTGGGAGGAAGGACAGCTGGGTCCTTCCATCCAGCATTCAGCCCTTCTCGGTGGCCAAATTAGTTGTTAGTGAAAGCTGGGAGACCAATGGGGCTTTGGCATCTTGCAAACAATGACTGCTATTTAGTTCAGCCAGTGTTTGGGGCTTGGGAGCTCGGCGGCCCCTGCTGGAGAGAACAGCTGCCCGCATCCTTTCCGCTCCCTGGGGTAAGCCACAACCAGCAGAGGCTTTCCAGAAACCCTGTCACTGTCTGGCCCATGCCTGTCCACCAGAAGTTCAGCCCCTAGCTCAGGGTAGGAGGGGAAGGGGGCCCGGGAGTTCTTCTAGGGCTGGATCTCCTGGGAGGTGGGGTGGAGGTGAAACTCATGGGTGCCCTGGTCCAACTCACTCACGTTCCAAGACTTCGGAAGGAACACTGCCTGGAGACTGTTGGGGTCACCATGGGTGGAGTGGGCCTGGAGGGGACCCCTCGAAACATTTCTCCAGAAGCCAGGGGAGAGGGTGGTGCCCTTCCCTGCACTGCCCAGGAGGTCCACTGCCATGTGGCTTTAGGCTGTGTGGTGCTGGGAGTAGGAGGAGGGATGGTGTTTGTCTCACAACTGGATTTAATCTGAAACACATGTACTGGCTCAACTGTATCCTCTCAGCTGGAAGGCAAGGTCACAAAATCGCAGTTCCTTGTGTTTCTTGATTTGGGTAAATGTGGCAGAAAGGAAGGCCCGACCTTGGCCCAACAGGGAGAATATCTACCTCCTCCCCATATCCTCCCCTTCCTGGTAGGACAGGAGTCTGGCTTGGATACTGCCCTTTGGACAGGATGGTATCATTGTCCCCGTGCCCCTGGCCAGGCGGCGGCTGCCTGCCCTCAGGCCACAGAACAATCACCACAGACAGGGCGTTGAGTGGGCTCAGAGGGACCTCCAACCCCATGCAGACTCTTACTCTCTGCCCTCTCAGTGACCTTTTACGGGGCCCTCCATAATCTCTCCACTTCCCTCATCCCCAGGGTTTGAGGTGGAGGACTCAGAGGTGCAATTAGTACTACAGGCCCCAGCAACTGGCTCTGGGCTAGCTGTGGCCCCATGTGCCTTCCACTGCCAGGGTCCCTCACCTTATATTCAGTCCTCAGTGCACCCACATGGGGACAGTGATCCTACATTCTGGGGCTGGGGCTGACTATAGGGATGGGATTCCTACAGAGAAGGTTTGACCTTCAAGCGCATTTGAACTGTGCCCTTAGTTCCCTTAAACACTCTGCCAGGCTGACCCCTGTGTCCCTCCTATATTGGGTCCCTACCCTGGCCAGAGGCACTAGAGCTAACGGCTTTTCCTGTAGCCTTGCTGCCTATAAATTTCACGGAATTTTGGGTCCTGTGATAAACCAGTCTGCTGAGGGTCAGGCAAGAAGATTCCTGCCAGCTCTGGGGTGGGGCTGGCGGGTGGGGAGAGCAGCTGGCGGCCTCTGTGGTGTTAAAGGTCCCTATCTGGTACTGCAGACAGCTCTTCCTGCTGCCTTAATGGAAGATTTCTCCCTGAGCACCCAGGGCAACTGTGCAGGAGAGCAGCTGGCTGAGAACGAGGAGTCTGGGGGGCTCATTCTAGGACACAAGCTCCAGATCCAGGTTTGGGAAGAAAGCTGGGCTAGTTACCCCTGGCTGTCTAGCCATAAGCTGAGCAAGCTCTGGAGGCGGTCTCTTCTTTTGTTGCCTTTCATCTCTACAGTGTTGTCCGGTGGATTATCTGTCTTGATTCTAAGGACTTCGGCCAAAAATCACACACCGCACTCCCAACTTTCCTATTTGTTCTGAGAAGTCAGGAAAGTATATGTGCTGCGTGTGGGGAAGGTTTTTTGCAGGTATATAAAAGGATGACAAAATGCTGGAGACCCTCGGCCTGGGTGTGTGGGTGTAGGTGTAGGGGAGGTGAGGGGTAGGGGAGGCGGATTATCAATTGTTGACAGAGCAGTATGGATGGAGGGAGGACATGGGCCAACCAGAGGTCCTAGTTGCTGAGACTTTGTCCCACTTTTTAAACAGAAGACCTCTTGGAAGATCCTACCTGTGAAACCCCTCTAGCTGCCTTCATCCCCTCCCACTCCAGGGGGTGAGTTCATGGATGCAGCAAGTGCCAGGAGGCTGAGGGAAGGTGGCATACCTAGAGCCCTGGACCCAGATTTCCCTTCTCCCTTGTGGTCCAGGGGTCAGAGAGCTGGTCAGAGGAGGCCACTGCTGGGGAGGTGAAGGGATCTGGGGTTGTTTAACCTGAAGCATAGAAAGCTCTGAGGGTGTAAGAGCTATTTTTTTTTAAGATTTTATTTATTCATGAGAGACAGAGAGGCAGAGACACAGGCAGAGGGAGAAGCAGGTTCCCCGTGGGGAGCCTGATGTAGGACTCAATCCCAGGATCCCGGGATCCTGCCCTGAGCAGAAGGCAGATGCTCAACCACTGAGCCACCCAGGTGCCAACGTAAGAGCTATTTTTAGGCTGGTGGGGGGAAGAGGACCTGGGATCTCTGGAGAGCTCACCTGCCTCTGTACTGTTCAGTTGTAATCCGTATTACAATAGGTAAGAACTATTTGGTTTCAATTTCACAGGAGAAGACATTATGACTTAGAAAGCTAGTAAGACACAGAATTGAGATTTAAAACCCGGCTGTCTCACCTTAGACCCAGTCTCCTTCCCAGGACAGAAGAACTCTCCATAGAGAACTATCTGAGAAGGGAATGGGTCCCTTATGAGGCCACAGGTTCTAGGCCAGAGCAATTCAAGAAGAGAGTCTGAGAACCTCCTGGGGATAGCAAGGAGCTGGACCAGCTGCCTCCATTCTCTGTATTCTGTGATTCTATGTATGGGAACTAGGTTCTGTCCCATTTGTCCCATTACAAATCCTATGTAATGAGCTAGTCAGGTGTCTCTAGGGAAAAGCCTTGCTGTGCACACATCTGCACAGAGAAGTCCACTGCTGGATCCCCGTAGCCCTGGAGATTTAGGTCCAAAGGTCCCTGACACACACAGTGGGATGAAAGCACAAGTTCACCCTGGGCCCGTAGGCCACGAGGCAGGTGGAGGGGCTGCGATGTGCTGAGAGGGAGGGACTGTCAAATTGAGGGTCCACTTCCAGCCTGGGGAGGTCAGAGGCGAGGTGCCCAGACCTGCCAATCTGCTCCTCAGCCAGGGTGGCCGGCAGAGAGGGGCAGTGGCAAGGGAGACAGCTCGCCGCCTCTTGCTTTCTTGCAGGTCCCAGGATGCAGGCCCTCGTGCTACTCCTCTGGACCGGAGCCCTCCTGGGACACAGCAGCTGCCAGAACGATGCGGGCGGCCCCCAGGAGGTCAGGGAGGTCAGGGGTGGGGTGAACTGGGGTGCCGGCAGTCCCTCAGCAGGCAGCATGGAGATGGGGCAGGCGCCCAGGTTTGGCCTTGCTGCACAGATAGGGGCTTGACTTCTCCTTCAGCAAAACAAACAGAAAGCATCTTGCTTTTCCTTTCAGAGAACATGGTGGAGACAAAAATAAGACCCTAAAAGGTGAAAATTGAAGGAAGAGTGTAACAAGCCCGGGAGGTCCCTTCAGTGAAGACCTTTTCTCATTACCTTCTGTTACTTGTGGGTCTCACTGGGCGTGGTCCTGGATACTTGTTCCTTCTTTCCTACCCAGAGGAAGCATCATCAGACTGCAGAGGCAGATGCTGAGAAGCTTACGCTAAGTGACAGTGAGGGGCCAGGGCAGTCTGGGCATGCTGGCTGGAGCCCTGGGCTTTGTTGTGAGTTCTGAGTTTGAATTCTGGCTCTACCTCTCACTTAGCTTTGTTACCTTAGACAAGTCTTTTACCTGAGTCTCTTTCTAATCCTATAAAATGGGATTAAAAATACCTATCCTGGGGTATCCAGGTAGCTCACTTGGTTAAGCATCTGACTTCAGGTGAGGTCATGATCTCAGGGTCCTAGGATCAAGCTTCATGTCAGGGCTCCCTGCTCAGCAGGGAGTCTGCTTGGAAAATTTTTTCCATCTGCCTCTTCCCCTGCTTAAATGAACACGTATACTCCTTCTCTCTTTTATTTTATTTTATTTATTTATGATAGGCACACAGTGAGAGAGAGAGAGAGGCAGAGGGAGAAGCAGGCTCCATGCACTGGGAGCCCGATGTGGGATTCGATCCCAGGTCTCCAGGATCGCGCTCTGGGCCAAAGGCAGGCACTAAACCGCTGCGCCACCCAGGGATCCCATCCTTCTCTCTTTCTCAAATCAAGATTTTATTGATTTTTTGCACACATTGAAGGGAAAGGAGAGGGGCAGAGGGAGAGGGAGAAGCAGGGCCCCTAATGAGCAGGGAACATGATTTGGGGCTCCATCCCAGGACCCCTGAGATTATGACCTGAGCTGAAGGCAGACACGTAACCTACTGAGCCACCCAGGTGCCCAATATAAATAAATCTTTAAAGAAAAACCAAAACTACCCTAGCAAGGCCATTGTGGCTAGTCACTTACTTTTTACCTACTAAATACCTGCTCTGTAGGGGCTGGGGATGGGTGGAAATATAAGACTCATTTCTTGCCTTCAAAGAACTCAGGCTTTTGAGGTATCAAATATATCAACAAGCATGAAATGAAGTAACTCGAATGAAAAGAACTAGCGCAGAGCCCGGTACATGGTAGCTGATTAACATGTATGTGGTAGTTGACCCTGTAAAAGGCTCAGAAAACCAAAAAGGCCTTCAGATTGCAGTGATTGGGGAAAAGTTGCGGTGGAGGAGAAGATATGTGATCAGGGCCACGGAAGACAGGGTGGTGGTGAGGGGATCATAGCCAGGTCAGGTGGAGACCTGGGAGCAGTAAGGAAGGGGAACAGACAGGCAGCTTGCTCTGGTCTGAGAGCTGGGTTCCTCGGAAGGGGCTCTTTTCTAAGAATGTCACAGGCCTGAGGCTCACAGGTCATGAGTGTTTGACCCCGGTTAGCTCATTTCCATTTGGGGCTGCCTGTCCCCAGTCGAGAACTCCTGCGTAATCAGGAAGCCCACTCTCCTTCCAACATAAGGCTACACATAGGGTGTTCGGGCAGGATGTCTCTAAGGGGCCAGACTGATGATCCCATTCAAAGCAACGAGACCAGTCACGCATGGCTCAAGTCTGACAGTTCGTGCACTCCAATCCAGGACTCTCCAGCTCCCGACGCGACAGGGGTGCCCGTGGAGGAGGAGGACCCTTTCTTCAGGGTCCCCGTGAATAAGCTGGCAGCAGCCATCTCCAACTTCGGCTATGACCTGTACCGCCTAAGGTCCAGCTTTAGCCCTGCTGCCAATGTGCTGCTGTCACCACTCAGTGTGGCCACCGCACTCTCTGCGCTCTCGCTGGGTGAGTCCTCTGAGCAGAGGGCCCCGGGGTCCTGGAGCGGCCCGTGGCCTCTGCACCAACACGCTTCTGAGCCCTAGAGGCCCTTCCCCTTATGGAGAGGCAAAGACGTGCTGAGAGAATGTTCCCCCCAGGGTCCCCTGCGTGAACCTACAACCCCTGTCTCGCTCCACAGGGGCACCTGCTGACTTGGACCATGGCCTCAGGACCACTTATTGACGGGATGACTTCAATGTTCACTCCTTATACGGGTTTCTGGGTGCCAGCCATTCGGCTAGTTCTGGCCTAGCAGGCCTGGCCTCTCCCTCGGTCAGGTCCCAGCTGAGGTCACGGGGGGTGGGAGGGGACTAATAAATAGGTAACTGGAAAACATTCTGGTAAAAGCCGTGATGGCAGAAGTGCAGGGCTCGTACCCTTCATGCCTGCCCTTGTCGGTCTCCCTAGGCCCAATACCCTTAGCCTGCTTGAGGAATGTTTTTCTTCCATTGCCTTCAAATTTCTTGCCCACCTAGCATGTCTCCAGGATGAACAGTGAAAGACTGAGGGCAGGGCAACCCTGTCCTGTCCCGGGAGCAGCCCTGACCTGGGCCCTGGTGGCCAGTTACTGAGGCTCCCACCCTTGTCTGTCTGGCAGGAGCGGAACAGCGGACAGAATCCACCATTCACCGGGCTCTCTACTACGACCTGATCAGCAATCCGGACATCCACAGCACCTATAAGGAGCTCCTTGCCTCTGTCACTGCCCCGGAGAAGAACTTCAAGAGTGCTTCCCGGATTGTCTTTGAGAGGAGTGAGTCACCCGGCCTGGGATGCTCCATGCTCCACAGGAGGATTCTTTTTTCTTTTCTTTCTTTCTTTTTTCTTTTCTTTTCTTTTCTTTCTTTTCTTTTCTTTTTTCTTCTTTTCTTTTCTTTCTTTCTTTCTTTCTTTCTTTCTTTCTTTCTTTCTTTCTTTCTTTCTTTCTTTCTTCTTTCTTTTCTTTCCTTTCTTTCTTCCTTTTTTTTTTTTTTAAGATTTTATTTATTCATGAGAGACACACACAGAGAGAGGCAGAGACAGAAGCAGGCTCCCCACAAGGAACCCGATGCAGGACTTGATCCAGGATCCCGGGATCAGGGCCCCAGCCAAAGGCAGACGCTCAACCCACTGAGCCATCCAGGCGTCCCTCTTTTTTCTTTCTTTCTTTAAGATTTTTATTTATTTATTCATGAGACACACAGAGAAAGGCAGAGACATAGGCAGAAGCATGATCCCCGTGGGGAGCCCAATGCGGGACTCGATCTTAGGACCCCAGGATCACAATCTGAGCCAAAAGCAGACACTCAACCACTGAACCACCCAGGTGCCCCAACAGGGGGGGGGGTCTCTTTTTGCTCAGGCTGGGCCTGGCCCTGGTGGGCAGGAAGGGGCCCCATGGGCTCCGAGAGGATCAGAAAGAGGAAGTAGACTGAGGGAGACAGGGAGAGGGCCGAGGTAGGGTGGTAACCTGAAGATAAATGGCCATGAGTGAAGTACATTGTTTCCTGTCCAGCGCCCGGGAAGGCTGGCATGACATCTTGGCAAGTCATGGGAAGTCACTAGGCAGGAAGTCAGGGCCTGCTAAGTGGCAAACCAAAACCTAAGCCTGGCATGCTCTCAAAGGGCGGATGCTGCTTTGCTTTGACTCCCAGAGCACGCTAACCTCTGTTCTACCTCTCCCCAGAGCTGCGGATAAAATCCAGCTTTGTTGCACCACTGGAGAAGTCCTATAGCACCAGGCCCAGAATCCTGACCGGCAACCCTCGCCTGGACCTTCAGGAGGTTAACAACTGGGTGCAGGCCCAGATGAAAGGGAAAATTGCTAGATCCACACGGGAAATACCCAGTGGAATCAGCATTCTCCTTCTTGGTGTGGCTTACTTCAAGGGTGAGGGTTTCACTTCTCTTTTGGTTCAGGGTGGATGGTAGGTGTCAGAGAGGATGGGGAAGGGGGCTGGCAAAGACACAACTCAGCAGTAACTCAGAAGTGAAGCCAGAGGACGAGCTGGGAAATGCGCTTGCTCAAGGGCTCTGCACTTGTCATCAAATCCCAGGCGAACAGGCTGTGTGTGTCTACAGAGTATAAGAGGCCCTGAACAAAGACTAGCAGAGAGAAGAAATGGCTTCCCCTCATGGGCCTGTTTGGGGTGGGCACTGTGAGAGTCTGGCTGGAGTCAGATGAGGGTCAAAGTCCAGCTGGGCCTTTCCTGGCTATAGAACCCTGCACAGGCTTCACAGCCTTTCCCAGGCCTGTTCCCCCACCTCTAACACGGATGACAGACACACTTACTCCAGAGGCTGTTTCTGTTGTCTCCTGTCCTCACACCAATACGAGAGCGGTGCTCAGGGGGACAACAAGTATTCAACAAACCATTGTTAGTTGTCTAACAGCATTCTGCTGTGGTGATGTGCCCAAGACTACTCCACAGGCTATGTGGGCCTGGCCCCATTCAGATAAGACTTGGGTGGGATTTGGGGCAACCTCTCCTTAAAATGCTTTATAACAGTCTATCAAGCAGTAACAGTGGACCCCTGACCCTGAGAAAACCCCTATCTGAAGCACTTATCTCCAGAAAGTGAGAGAAGCCATTACCCAGGCCAGTGCATCAAAACTCACATTAAGCGAAGGGAGGTTGGATATCACCTCACTGTGTGAGCACCAACCAATACCTCCACCTCTCTTAACTTCAGTGCTTTTCCAGATGTGAGAGGGGTGATATTTGGGTCCCTTGCAGCTCTGACCTCCTTTGATGCTATCCCCCAGACAGCTCACTTCAGGAGACACCAGTTGACTTCCCTCCCAGGCTATCAGGACTTCTATGATTCAGATGTTCAAATCAATAATTCCTCCTGAGTATCTCCTCTCGAGACTATATATGGAAGGTATTCAGGCCTTAGACATTTTGTGGTTCAGCCCACACATTCTGAGATAGAGCTATTCCCGGATGTGTTGGGGTCTCTAAGATTCCTTTAGCTAGGCAGCTTTCAACAATAGGCTTTGGTCTCCTGGCACGGTCCCAAAGCCTGTCTGGTCTCCTGGGGCTCAGGGCACTCCATTTGTTTCATTCCAGGGCAGTGGGTAACAAAGTTTGACTCCAGAAAGACTTCCCTCGAGGATTTCCACTTGGATGAGGAGAGGACTGTGAAAGTCCCCATGATGTCAGACCCTAAGGCCATCTTACGCTATGGCTTGGACTCTGATCTCAGCTGTAAGGTCTGTAGGGGCCGGGTGAGTGGTGGTGGGGGGCGGACAGAGACAGGAAGAATAGCAGAGTGGAAATAGGATGCCCTTTGGGATGGGACAGCTGTCTAAATTCTACCTGCTATGTGGCTTCAGCAAGCCAATAGCTTCTCTGAACCTTTTTTCTTAGAATGAAGAAAGATAGGTATTGAAACTTATCCTTTTAAGGTTTATTGTAAGGATTAACAGATAATGTGAAATGGGCCAAGACTGGGCAACTCACGTATTGGTATTTTCTTGTCTTTTTTCCCCTTCTTCCTCTGTCTCTCCTTTTTTTCTTTCTTTGGGGGGGGGGTACTTTTTATTTCTAGAATTCAAAACCAAACTTTAAAAACTGCCACATACTCCAAATTGCTGGCATTCTAAGTTTTTCACATATACCTGACACTTTTAATTCGAAGTCAGTAGTTTTTAAGCCTTTTTCCTTGAGAATCTGATGAAATGCCTAAAACACTTGAGAGAGAAAAAAAAAAAACACTTGAGAGAAATGCTATATATGCACACACATTTCTGCATATGGTTTCAGGGGCTGTTAGGACTCCTGATGCAGTTTGTTCCATGGACCTTAGGTTAAGAACCTCTGCTCAGAAGACCCATTTTATTACTTTAAAAAAATATATTGATTTATTCATGAGAGAGAGAGAGGCAGAGATACAAGCAGAGAAGAAGCAGGCTTTCTGCAGGCAGTCTAATATGGGACTGAATCCCGGATCCCAGGATCACGCTCTGAGCCAAAGGCAGACGTTCAACTGCTGAGCCCCCCAGGCACCCCTTTATTACTGCCTTTTTTTTAAATAAAATCTTTTTATTTATTATTTATTTAAGATTTTATTTATTTATTCATGAGAGACAGAGACAGAGAGAGAGAGAGAGAGAGGCGGAGACACAGGCAGAGGGAGAAGCAGGCATCATACAGAGAGCCTGATGTGGGACTTGATCCAGGGTCTCCAGGATCACGCCCTTGGCTGCAAGCGGCGCTAAACTGCTGCGCCACTGGGGCTGCCCTTTATTACTGCTTCTATGTTGCCCCGTTCAACACTTCCACTTGTAGTTCAAGGCTCTGTACAGAATGGATGATCAGTAAATATTGGCAGACAATCTTTGGGAGAAAATACAGACCTGAAATTCAATTCTAGCTCCTCAGAACTACAAGAGAAAATTCTTTCAGCACTTAACTTCAGTTGGCATTAGGTTGAGGTAAGAAAAGACAAAACCTACTTTTTTGAAGAAACCTCAGTAGATCTCTTGCTGCTAGAAGGCAATGGCCAAGAGGGACAGTTGTTAAATAGAGGTTGAGGAAAGCATGGCCAGGGACTCACTGTAGGAGGGGAGAAGGTAGCTTGGAGTGTGTGTCTAACTCACATGCTCCCTCCCTGCTGTTTCAGATTGCCCAGCTGCCCTTGACCGGCAGCATGAGTATCATCTTTTTCCTGCCTCTGAAAGTAACCCAGAACTTGACCATGATAGAAGAGAGCCTCACCTCTGAGTTCATTCATGACATAGACCGAGAACTGAAGACAATTCAAGCAGTCCTGACCATCCCCAAGCTGAAGCTGAGTTATGAAGGCGAAGTCACGAAGTCCCTGCAGGAAATGAGTATGTCTGCAAGACCACAGTGCTCTTTCTTGGGGGGTGGATTGGGTTGAGCCTTTGAGCTTTCTGCCTTGCTAAGCAGAACTCGAGGAGGATTCTCTGGCCTTGTGGGGAGGCCACGGATGATTCCTTAATTCTAGTAGTGCTGGAGGGAAAGACTGAACTGCTTCTCTTATCAGGCACATTCCTCAGCCCCATAAGCATATATCTTGCAACAGAACACTACCTCTCAAGACGGGTCTGTTGAGCTGGTCTCTAATCTTAACCTCACTTGCTGTGTGCTCTTGGCAAGTCCCTTAACCCCTACCCAGCCCAGAGGTCTACATACCTTACAGAGGGGCCAAGTGGTGTTCTACTCCCAGCTTGCCTGCCTTCTTGAGAATCAGGATTTAAGCACCAGGACTCTATTCTTCCACAGGGTGTTGGGTAAGGCAGGGTTTTAATGGCAATCTCTCTCAATTTCTGCAGAACTGCAATCCTTGTTTGATTCACCAGACTTCAGCAAGATCACAGGCAAACCTATTAAACTTACCCAAGTGGAACATCGAGCTGGCTTCGAGTGGAACGAGGATGGGGCAGGCACCACCCCCAGCCCGGGGCTCCAGCCTGCCAGCCTCACCTTTCCTCTGGATTATCACCTGAACCGACCTTTCATCTTTGTGCTGAGAGACACAGACACAGGGGCCCTTCTCTTCATAGGCAAAATCCTGGACCCCAGGGGCATTTAATGCTCTGGTTTTTAATGTTCCAATACCCTAGGAGAACAAAACCCTCAAGGGATGGCAGATGACATATTACATGAAGGCTGCCCCTACAATGGTTTCAGTGTATACTTTGCAATAAAAGTGCTTTATTCTTAACATTTGTTGCCCTGTTCCTCCTCCTGTTTTGAGCTATGTTAAGTTTAATATAAAGTTAAATAGCCCTTTAGTGATTTGCTGGTTCTTTACTTATAGTCTGGGTATATCTAAACTCTGCAGAAAGTCCCTATTTTTTTTAAAAGATTTTATTTATTTATTCATGAGAGACAGAGAGAGGCAGAGACACAGGCAGAGGGAGAAGCAGGCTCCTCGCAGAGAGTCTGATGTGGGACTCGATCCCAGGACCAGGATCACAGCCCTGAGCTGAAGGCAGACGCTCAACCGCTGAGCCACCCAGGCGTCCCAGAAAGTCCCTATTTATAAGAACTTTTAGTTATCCTCATTGTAATAACTCAGGAATTGATTCTCTGCTCTGGGAGTGTTTATGTACTAGGACCACTAATACTCCCAAGAGGGTATCTCCTGCCCCCACCATCAGTAGGGTATGCTCTTAAATAAATCAAACTTTAGGCTTTTATTTTTTTTTAAGATTTATTTTATTTGAGGGAGAGAGAGAGAGGGAGTGAGCGCAAGCAGGAGGAGCAAAGGGAGAGGGAGAGAGAATCTCAAGCAGACTCATGCTGAGCATGGAGCCCGACAAAGGCCCTGATTGCATGACTCTGAGACCATGTCCCAAGCCGAAATCAAGAGTCAGCTGCTCAACCGACTGTGCCCCTAGCTGCCCTCCCCGCAAAGCTTTAGGTTTTAATGCAAGCACAGATATCCCCCAGTTAAGCTAATGTCACCTGACAACATAGGATAACACACGACAGATGAGAGAGTAATTTGTAACTTGAGGAAATGTCTTATAAAGCATTGAAGGAAAGCTCCAAAGTACACCTAACATGGGACCTGACATGTGAAAACTCTAAGCACATTCTTCTTAAGGGAGCATGCCTATTTTACAGACTATAACAAGACCCTTTTTTTAGGAACACGAAACATGACAAGTGCTTGGAACAGAATATAGAACTATCCTCACAACTAAATTTTCAAGAAGAAAAATTTAACTCTGCACAAGAAAAAACCTCACTGGGCACTGCCTTGCCATGGTGAATTAGTAGAAAGAAGGACAAATGAGATTTTGCCTGACCCTCATTCACATGTTTGAATGTAAACTGTACTCTAAATACCCGGCTTCTTGAAAAGCTCCTGCCAGACATCTTCAGTTAATGCTGAGGCAAGTGACGGGCACTTCCTGAGCATGCCGAGGGTGGGTGGGCAAGATCTCAAAGCCGTGTGGACCTGACATTCCTTTCTGCTAACTCATTGGAACCACTCGGTCATGGATGGTCATACAGCAACCGAGATTTCAGTACAGAGAGTCTCCCTGCCTCTGGCCAGGATGGAGATCTCAACTATTGGTCCACATCCAGGCAGAAAAGAGCTATCACCCCGGCCTTCTTTGCTGGAGTTTGAAACCACAAGCAGCAATGCCCATACCCTCCAGCATCTACTGAAGTCTCCCCCAACATGGCTCAGGACTCAAGCAGGTTATGTTTCATTTGCCAGCTTGGGGAGGTCTGGTAGAAGGGAGTCTCTTTTCAGGATTGCTGATACACAGAACTGAGAAAGGAGGTCCGCATGTCATTACTATAAGCTTGATTCTATTAGTGTTTGGTCAGCAAGTCTGCCCAGAGGACAGAATGAGAGGCAGATAATAAGGAGTGGAAACCTGATAGAAGACAAATTTAGAGTTGTCATCCCAGGAAGAGATTGCTCAACAATAAAGTGGCTCCATACTTATTTCTCTATTCACAATTTACACAAGTACCACTTTTAACAATGGAGTCAAGAAAGCTAGATACCGTAAATGAAATGGTGTCTCTAAAGGTAAAGGAGCCTTGGTGATTTCTTGCTTTATAATTATTTTTCAATTACAATACAACTACTAACAGCATGAGTTCCCACTGGAGTGGTACACAACATTTCATTACTACTAGAAACCACAGGAATGTTCCAGGAAAACAGACTATCATTTAGTGAAATGGAGTCTAGCCAAAACCCCAGGCTAACATCCAGATGCCTGCAGATCAGCTAAAAAAACCTTTTAGCAGGTTTAGGCTCTCTAGTCACTAGTTTTAAGTCTTTTCTGGGAACTGGGAGTTTTTACGGGATGGTAGTTAACTATCTGAAGAAAACCCAGGGATCCTACAATGAAGGCCCCAAGGGGATGGGCGGCGAGTTCAATAAACAAGATTTCATCTTCTGTAGCTCCTGGATCTCGTCATTGCAAGGGCCATAGTGTACCATCAGAACCTTTTCTGCCCTCTCGACTGTGTTCAGTGCTTCTGGGATTGCAAACCTGAACCGAAGGAGGTAAAAGGGGTGAATCCACTCATTCAGTCAAGCAAACATTAATCAAGGGCCTAGTCTGACCCTGTGAAGAATACAAGATTATATAAGATCAGTTTGTCCTCTAGAATCTCACAGTCTAGACAGGTAGGTTAGATACTTTCACAAACACACTGTAAGGCAGAATTTGAAAACAGGAGAGAAAGAATAAAGATTCTAAGGTCTGGAGAAACAGGTAATTCTCAAAGTGTTCATCTGGGATTATCCTGCGGTTTACTCATGAGTCTTCACCTTCAGCTAACCATGTCCACCCAGGACCTGACTCTGCAGCCCTGTTCCCTTTCTCTGGCCAAATGCACAACTTCTATGTCTTGAGTCTCAGGTCCACAAACCATTCATAACCTTAGGATCAAGCTTCAAATACTGCTTCATGCCAAAGTGCACCAATGGCAGCTTTATCAAGGCTGGAAGGAAGTGTTCCATCTAGAAATAGGGCCTCCCAAAGACCTCAGGTGCAAACATGGATGATATCAATCCTACTGGTCTTTCTTTTAAATCTTTAAAGCAGGGTTTCTCTGCCTTGACACTAGTGACATTTTGGGCTGGGTCATTCTTAGCTGGGGCGGGTTGGGGGGGGGTGGCTGTCCTGTGCATTGCAGAATGCTTAACAGCATCTCTGGCCTCCATACTGAATCATGACAACCAAAAATGTCTCCAGACATTGCCAAATATCCTCCGGGGTGGGGGGGAATTACTCCTGGTTGAAAATGACTGCTTTAAAAGGAACTGGATGGGGGAAGGAAGAGCCCCTGGAGTTGAAGGTGCTGAGAATGAGGGTGGTGAGGGAGGCGTGAGGAAGCAGAGGGCCGTGGAGAGCTGCTGTGATGCAGGTGGTAGGGCTGTGTGGCAACTTCTCCCTAGGAATGTCCCTCTGTGCTAAGAGCTTTCCCCATATGTCCCAGGAGGAAATTCTAAAGCTTTGAGTTTGTCAATGAAACAGAAGGAAAGGATCTCTCATAAAGGGGAAATAAAGAAGTTTCCACATGCTTAAAAGCATCATTGGAGAAAAATAATGCACAGAAGAGCCTAATAGAAGACAGTGTGTAGCCTGGAGAGTGTTAGGAAACAAGAGAAAGACTTACCCATTGAAAAAGAGTTGGGCTAGTTTGAAGAGCTCATGGCCCACTTCAACACTGGATGGCCCATGGCGAACCTCAACCACTCGGAGACTCTTCTGTAGATGGGTAGCTGACTTTTGCCAGTCCCCTGCAAAGAAAGAAAAATCTGGTTCCAGAAAAGAACCACAGTCAACTGTGGATGAATGTTTTCAAGATGAGGAAAGCTCAGTGGAAGGAGAGAACAGCTTCAGTTAAAAGACTTAAGAGGTGACCGACCAGATGAGGCTGGGGTTATGACCAAATGCACAAGGCAAACTTGGTCTTCAGAGCAGAAAATGAAGACACATGCCATACCTAAGGCAGCGTAGGTCTGGGCCAGGGCATCCTCGATTTCTCCTACCATGCTGTGTTCTGCTGACAGGAAGCTCTCAGCATCATGCCGGCATTCCAGCAACAGCTGAACAGCTTGCTCTATCAATTCAAAAGAAGGTGGCCTCATTACTACATAAACCCAGTCCTAGAAACGAGAACCCAACTCTTAAATTCCACATTGGCTGGGCTGAATGTGGACACCCCGGTTTGTGCCCTGCTGTGAAGAACCCATGTTTGTTCCCATAAAGCTGTTGTTCTCTTACATTTTCTTTCAATAGAAGGTGCTAGGTGAGGCCTCTCCACATTGACTCTAGGTTTCCAAATTCGAGTGGCCCATACTCCACTTATGATCATTATCGCTCTCGACTCAGAAGTCTAAGTTAAAGGTCAACTTTCACAAAGTAGGGTAAATCACATGACATCAAGGTCTAAGGTGGAGTTTGCAAGAACGTGGAGTTACATGACTCTCTCTGAAAAAAGTAGGATACTCCTGTCTATGTTCCACTGCTCTCTGGAAGAGATGAGATTCTGATGAGAGCAGAGAAACCTTGCTAGGAAATTAGGTCATTAGGCCCTGCAATTAAAAGAAATGACACTGAACTTCTGGACATGCACTAAGATCATGGATGTTAGAGATAAGCCTTTAGTCATCACGGGTACTTCAACTGAGCTCTCCAGTGCATGAGAGAACAACAGCTTAAATCATCTGGTCCTTTTCAAGGATACCACACAAACTCACTAGTTAGAGTTTGGTCTCACTGGCCTGCATAGCCATCTTGTGGATGTCATGGGGATAAGTAAATGGAACTCTTCAATCAGCACTGAGTATCCCAAAATAAGTAAAAAGGAAGGGGCTGGAGAACCAAAGTAGGGGGCCAGTCTCACCTAGTTTACCACTTCTGAGAAGCTCCTGGGCAATCCCAACCTGCTGCTGGAGATCCTGTAACTGAGAGGTGAGGTGATCCCTGCTGACCGATTCCGTACAGGACATGCTGCCACAGCTCAGGACGTCACCTCCCTGTGAAAGTCAGGTTTGTCTTTACTCCTACACGAGTCACTTAGCAACACCGTGTGTGTTTAACATTAGAGGGTCACTCCCTATGGGCCAAAGAGATGCCTATAACAATACACCATAACCAAAGCCTGATTCAATTGGGTTTGACGGCAGCAACTCTAATGAAAGCAGGAACTGATCGCAACCTGAGATTTTTTTTT